CATAAAAACAAAACAATGGAAAACTTTAGAACTTAAGCTATAATTAATCATGTGATTAATCATTAATCATTAATCACTTATTTTAATCTCATGATTAATCACAATTTTTATAATTGTTTGATAGGCCTATAATTGTTTGACTTAGCACCTACAAGCCCAAGTCATGGACCAGACTCTATTAGATGATTAAAACTACTTATTCAAGATATCCTGCTTCGTGATCTAAATCATGCTTAAAATTGGTGATTTAAATCAATCCACATTGTATTTTCCTGTCTAAGGTTTTCCTCACAAATAATTTTACTCAAAACATTCCTCAGTTTGGGAAAATTAGCCCTTTTGAAGCACCAAGAATATATATTACTGGTTGGGATTGTTCTCTGTTTGCCCTCATCTTGAATCAATCATGATCACTGATCTCTCTAAGCAACCACCAACTTCCAATGATTAGTTCATATTAACAGGTGTGTTGTGAGCAAGACATGAGAAGTCATTCTTCTGCTCTACTCTGTGCTGATTAGGCCTCAGTTGGAGTATTGTGTCCAGTTCTGGGCACCACATTTCAAGAAAGATGTGGAGAAATTGGAGAGGGTCCAGAGAAGAACAACAAGAATGATTAGAGGTCTAGAGAACATGGCTTATGAAGGAAGACTGAAAGAATTGGGTTTGTTTAGTTTAGAAAAGAGAAGATTGAGGATGGACATGATAGCAGTTTTCAGGTATCTAAAAGGGTGTCATAAGGAGGAGAGAGAAAAATTGTTGGCCTCTGAGGATAGAACAAGAAGCAATGGTCTTAAACTGCAACAAGGGAGGTTTAGGCTGGACATTAGGAAAAACTTCCTAACTGTCAGGGTAATCAAACACTGGAATAAATTGCCCAGGGAGGTTCTGGAATCTCCATCTCTGGAGATATTTAAGAGTAGGTTAGAAAAATGTCTATCCGGGATGGTCTAGACAGTATTTGGTCCTGCCATGAGGGCAGGGGACTGGAATCGATGACTTCTCGAGGTCCCTTCCAGTCCTAGTATTCTATAATTCTATCTGTAAATATAAGTTCTGTAGAGACCCTGAACTAGCCCACAGAATATGGGAAAGGAACCAGCGAAACAAAAATGCCCACAATGAAATACTCCATCTATACCATCTAGCATCTGCTATCAAGGGAAAACCTCATGATCAGTATAACACATGATCAAATATAGATAACATACTTGAAAGAACCAGCATAAGCACTTCATTTTTTTTGACTACTAGGAGAAGATAAGCAACCAATTTAGTTTCTTCTCCATACATAGCCATATAACAAGAAGTGTAGCCATTCAAACTGCAAAAGTTTCCCCTCCACAACTTTCTCAGTGGCCTTCCCAAAGTATGAGACAGGATATTCACTGACAGCTACTTAAAGAATTAGTTTCTTGAAAGCTGGAATAACAAAGTCTTTTTGAGGAACCACCCATACCTTGTCGCCTTCAAAAACAAAATGTTGACAATCTCTGTCAACAATGAACCCAATACTACTAATCTTTGTATACTATCAGAAAGGAAAACTGTCCAACAGCCAAGCTTTAACTCATAGTCCTCCTAGCAACTCTATAACATACTGAATGATATTGACAGAAACTAAGACTCAGGAAAACTAAGAAAACCTCAACTTCGTAACTAAATGGAGAAGGGCGACAATTCACTAAGCTCTAAATGTTACAGTCTATCACAGTGAGATTTTCCAAACTCCACTGTGTGGAAATGAAAGATGAAGATCTTTAAGAAATCTGTTTGTCACAAACTGCTCACTCAGAACAAGACCTCCTCTACAGGCTCTCTTTCATCTTTCCTTTCATTTGTAAACTGCAGATCTGTGAGAGAAAAGCCCGCAAAGGGGGTGGCCATTATGAGCTAGTGTATCAGGAGCAGAAGACAAAAAACTCTTAATCATTGTGAGTAGTCATTTGGGAATTAACAATGTCCCTTAAAGGTACCTGAGAACAATCTAGGTTCAAACCAACATTCAAGGAGGACCATCAGATCAGGTCCCTCTCCAGTTAGGATATGTGTACCCCAACCTCACACCAAAGGACATCATCAGTAGCTGACATGGGGTAATATCCAACCTTCTATAAGGCACTCTCAACTAGGGCTGTTAATCACCCTGTTATAAGACTCCAGCTTCCCCTAGGCTCTACGTTGTGCTGCCCCTTTGAAATGCCACAGCAGCAGCGTTTCAAAGGGGCAGCACAAGTGGAGCCTCGGATCAGCTGTGCGGCACTGCCCCTTTGAAACGCCACAGCATTTCAAAGGGGCAGCATGTTGGGAGCCCAGGATCAGCTGAAGTCCCCGAGCACCGAGCAGCGCTGCCCCTTTGAAACACCAGCGTGGCAGCACCGTGGGAGCCTGGGATCAGCTGGAGTCCTCAATTGACCCTGGGCTCCAGTGTAGCCCTTTGAAATGCCACAGTGGCATTTCAAAGGGGCAGCACTGCAGAAACATCTGCAATTAACACGCGTTAAAAAAATAACGCGTTAATTCTGCCCTGAATTAATCGCAGGCATTAATGTGCGTTAATTGACAGTGCTACTCTTAACCCAAACATTAGAGCTAGTGTGTGTTCTGGGTAAATATGTTGGTGGCTATACAGATCAGCTCTCTCAAGGAGAGGTTTTAATGGTGCTGATTGTACAGAGAAGCCTAAAGTCAACCTGGGATAATGCTTGAGGATTGCAGAAATCCACATAAGTGATGATTCTTTTGTCTTAATTAAGAATGTTATGATTGCCTTGACAATCATTGGTCTGTCTCAGGTGGTTATCTCTTAGGGTACGTCTAGACTACCGCGTTTTGTCGACGGAAGTTTTGTCGACAGTATCTGTCGACAAAACTTCCGTCGACAAAACGCGGTAGTCTAGACGTACCCTAAGAGATAACCACCTGAGACAGACCAATGATTGTCAAGGCAATCATAACATTCTTAATTAAGACAAAAGAATCATCACTTATGTGGATTTCTGCAATCCTCAAGCATTATCCCAGGTTGACTTTAGGCTTCTCTGTACAATCAGCACCATTAAAACCTCTCCTTGAGAGAGCTGATCTGTATAGCCACCAACATATTTACCCATATGGTTCTATATTCCATGAGTTTTGCTTTAAACTTTTATGTTTCACCTTGTTTTGCAACAATATTTTGCAACTGCTGAAAAATTAGCCAAGTTCTCTCTAACCATTTATTGATCCTTGTCAGAGCTTAACAAAACCCTCAGATCGGACACGTTTCTCACATTTCTCACAGCTTTAGTGTAAACCTTTTCTCTCAAATTAAGAAAATATGATTAATATCCACTAACCTCATCCGAGCTCAGCTGTGAAGAACCATCTTGAAATACCATAGTAACTACCAGAGCTACTGCCTCTTTTATAATCATGATTAACTGACTTTTTTCCTCATGTTCCAAATTTCTGATATCACAAATAGTTTTTTCAGGTGATTCTGCCGGTTCAGAAGCCCAATCATACTTTGTTTTATGTGAATTAACATCTTCTTTCACTGGTAACCATTGTTCCATCTTGTATGAGCAATAAGTAGATATGTCCTGCTTCCTTTTAAGACAGGTGATTTTATTTTTTTCACTATCCTTTATTTTCTTTCTTTTTACTGAAGAGTTGCTTTCTATATGATCCCATTTTGGTAGGACTACATCCTGGTAATTTACTAAATTGCTCACACTAGAAGAAGGCAATACTGATTTCACTATCTTGGTGTCTTGATTACAGAACATTTTGTCCATCACTTCTGTACTGCCCAATTGACTACTATTTTCTGCAGTGGCAGTAGACATATTTAATGATACAGTTACAGAATCATGTGTCTCCTGGAAGAATCAAAACCTTTTTAATGGATTAACTATTCACCAACTTATTATAGATCAGAAAATTAAATAAATATGAATTTAACCATTTCCTGAAAAGCTTTTCAAAATTATTTATGTAGAAAAAAACCCAAATGTTTATATTGTTTTACTTTCATTTTAAAATAAATTATGCATGTGATGAGTTCTATTAAGATAGAAAGATTCAGTTTAACAAGACTATATAACAAAGAGAGAACACTATAAAGACTAAATATGCAACCCTTTAAACATCACTTTGCTCCTTTATATTATTTGTAATATAAAATTACTATTACTTTTCAATTGTTGCTGTTGGGGTCATATTTAAGTGAATTACAGGGCTCATGAAAAGTGTGAAGTTAATTGCAAAACTGTATGAATATCCAAGCTTTTCCATCATCCATACCAAAGTGCTTTATCTATGACCTGGAAAGACAGTCTTCATTGGCTAATTTTCCATATCCATTCAATCTTTCACCTCATTTATCAAGCAGGATGCGAAACATGTGACTTTAATTTCTCCTTCTTCAAATTATTCCTCAGGCTCCCTAACTTCAAAGTTATAAAACCAAACTATTAGAATTCTCTAGTCTGAGACTACACTCTTCGAGACAAAAGTTGATAACCAAATACAAACAACAGAAAAATTTGCTTTCTTGTATGTGGCTTGGCTGCCATCAATGTAGCTAATGATTCTGACTGATGGGTATCTGGTTAGGAAAAAAAAGACAAACATAATTGGTCTGAAATTCATGGGGGTGGGAGTTGGAGCCACAAAAAAGAGTTTGCCCCAACCTAGGCTGTACCAGCATTCCCAGTCATAAGTGTTGGAACTAAGGATGTGTGGGAGGACAGTGCTGTACCCACTGGCTTGAAGTGATTTTCATTATGTAAAAGGTTAAAGTTGGCTGCATAGCTCTCAGCACTCCCCACTATAAAAATTGTTCCTGTGCCCAACAGGACACTGCTAAGGCTTAGATAGAGAGAATATCCTTAGCATGACACCCAAACGTTCAATTAGCTGATGCAGTGAATTCTATTGCCAAACAGCAAGCAGAGAGTCCTACTTTTCTGTATTCAGTTTGTGTGCATGTAAAACTGAATTATAAACCCGAAAGTATTATACATAAAATTGTGGGTGATAGTTCTCCTGTAAGGGCTAAAAAGCAGAACAGACAAAATGATTAATTTACTACATTTTAAAAATATAATTTTGGAAGTAAAGGAGGTTTGACTCATGATAGCTGAATACTTGGGGCTGGTAATCCAGACTGACCCAAATTATGGCTACTAGGGTAAGAAAGGCTCCTGCTGGATACAGGAATCAGCAGTTGAGGACACATTTCCTTTCATTCTCTACTCACTATAGTTCTTCTGCTAGTTAGAATATGCTTTTCTGCATGTGTATATTTTGCAGGTGAGATGAGGTTGACTACATATGCACAAAATAACCTGTAACACTCACCTCCAATGGCTGACTACAGCTATTCCCAATAGCCACAGAAAAGCAATGTAAAAATAGATTTTATATTACACTAAGGGTTGAAAGAAATGGTACCTCAAAAGCAATAGTTTCTTTGTGGAGAAGCAACTAGAGACAACTTGGGAGTCATTAGAATGAGCTGAAAAAGGAGATAGAACTAGAGTGTCCCACTGCTAACTGGATGAAAAATGTAAGACAGAAAGCAGAGGAAAGATGTCTATTATCTGAATGGGTGACTGACAATACACATACATACTAACATCACACACACACACAGATTGTAGTAATAAAAACATAATTTGAACTTTTTCTTTAGTTTTACAGTATACTTGCCATTTCATTTTTCAACATTCTCTTCTTTTCTCTGCATTTATACTCATTCTTCTTCTCAGTATTACCTTAAAAAAAGAGGCAGTATTTGTATACTATAGCCAGAAATGGCAGCAATGCCTATCATTAAGATGTCCTAAAACTTTCTTTAATAAGACCCTATATTCATTTGCTTTGAACTTCACCAAACTTTAAGCATTTGCACTGTAATTTTCTCTGCCAGTTGTACGCTTCAGGCTGACTTAAAAAAAAAATTGTGCTAAAATTACTCAAATGTTTCCTAGGATAATTATACGGGGATATTTTTCCCCCTTAAAAAATCCTGTACAGCTTTAGCTGAGATGCACTAATGTCTCTGTGCATTGTCCCAAGGGCTTGATATTTGGCAGAGGTCAAACCCTGGTGTCAAATATATGTGTTTTCCCATTCTTGCAAAAAATCTACTCAAATTTGGGCGAGTTATAAGCATCTGAAAAATTACAATTCACATACAGCAGTGGAAGACGGAGTGACCCAGCAGCCTATTTCGCTCTCCCACCCATATGATAACCTGTTATGCTCCACTTCACCATAGCTGCAGACTGCATGCTCTCCTCTACTCTCTTGAGCCCTACATCATTTGAAGGAGCAAAGTGAGCTGGGGTGCTCCACTTCCCACTGCCACAGTAAAGCATACCAATCTGGCTGGAAGATGACAGCAAAGCGGAATAGAGTGGGCTGCTGCACTGCTCTACTTTCCATGGCTCCTGCTTCCATGGTGAGTACAGTGGCCCGACTCTTGCTGCTGCCCCATGTTAGGCTGCCCCCGGTAATCCCCAAGGTTGGGAGAGGGGAGAAACAGCAGCTTTCCCATATGACAACAAATATATTAAGTGAAATCCGGAAAGCATTCATCACATTCCAATAATAGTTTAGACAGTTTAATATGTCTGCTTTGTGTAGACAAAATTAAAAAATAGTAATGTGTAAACTTGAGGGAAGGCATAAGAGTACCTACTTCTAGTTATTACATCTACTAAGTAGGATAATATTTTGAGAGACAAAAATAAGACCCCTTGGAATTTATATATTTGGGTCAAAAGACACCCAAAACAGTCCTCATCTTATTAAAAATAATTTTAAATTATCTTTTATCCATCAATATATTCCAGATGTATCAAAATGATCTGCACCAAACCAACACAAAAATTCAACACAATGTAAATATTAATTTCAATAGTTTTCCCTCTCCACACATACATACATTTCTGGAAAAAAAACCCATTTAACAGTTTTGTCAAAATATAACATTTCCACAATATTAACTATTGTATCACTACAGTTCCACAATAAAATATACAGAATATTTGTATTTATAATGTAAATTAGATTTATTTATATCTTGGATATCAAACTGCTGTTACAATAACAGGCAATCAATAGATAAGTTCTATCATTTATTTAGAAGCAACTAGATGGCCAAATTCTGAAGTATTTATTCAGGCAGAACTCCTACTGCAGTAAGTGGGACCTTTCCCTCATTAGGGCCAGACACTGAAAACCTAAAGCTAACAAATATTATATAAATTATATTTCATTGTTGAATTATAGAATGAAGATCACTTGACAATATTGAATGAGAAAAATTGTAACTTTAATTCTGCTAAGCATCTCATCTAATGCAATTAAGAAATAGTCCATTAAAGTTCTAGATTTTATTCCAAGGGAATCTCTAGTTTTGCACCATTTGCACCTTCCTCATTGTTCCGTGGATCTCACCTATATCTGTTTTATATATCTTTTCCTGCAGTTTGAAAATATGTCACTAGATGGCAGTATACACCTATCTTTGCTTTCACAGATTTTGGAAGTTAGAATTGTGATAATCTATTCTCATACCAGAGGCTACAGAATTTTACTTATATCAAGCCCATAATTTCTGGCTGAAATAGAAGATATATTTTAGAAAGACACACAATATTTCCAATAGACACTTCCAAGAGATTAGCAAAATCACATTCAATTCCACATATATTGTAATAAAATATGATCTAAAAGTCTCTCCATAGAAGGAGTTCTCAAAGGCTTATCTCAGAAACTGAACTGTGTGTGTCTTACAGGAAAAACAGTTAAACAGAAAATTGTGATTCCTCTGCATCTCAAGTTGACCTGCTCATGAGAATTGACTTCTTTTTTAAATATGATACAAATTAACAGGCTTGAACATAGGAAATTCCCAGAACAGAACACAACTTATAGGCTTATTTTTACAAATTGAGGAATAGGAATAATCAAGAGTTTGTTTACTAAGTTGAATGTGGTTTCACAAAATGTTTTATTTTCTGTAAGTTTGCTTTTAAAATTATCAAGGTTTAGGAAGTAGGACAATACTAATTAGAAGTAGGTACTCGATTTTTGTTTTTCTTCAAGTTTACAAGTTACTGTTTATATGTCCAATGTCTCTTCTTCACTTACAAAAAAATTCTGTAAACTGTCTAAATTTGCTAAAAAGTAATTCCATTAATTTCTTATTTTAAATATGGAGAGAAGAGAGTGATGACAGAAACTGGGCAGCCAAGCAACATAATATCACAGAAAAATGGACCTATACTAGAGATGTTATAAAGCAGGTATCTCTTTAACTGTTGAAAATGAGGAAGTTGTTCACCTTGGTGCAGTAACGAAGGTTCTTCAAGATGTGTCCCTCCATGGATGCTCCATTGTAGGTGTTGGGTCATCCCAGTGCCTCAGATTGGAGTTCTCTTGCGCAGTGACCTGCTGGACCGCGCATGCACAGCATGCACTTTGCTCCATTCGCATCCTTTTGATGTCTTATGCGGTCCGGTTCCCATCAGTCCCTCAGTCCGCACCGGTATCTGTAAAATATAAAGAGAAATCGGAAGTGGGGAGGAAGGCGGGTAGTGGAGCACCCATAGAGACACACATCTCACAGAACCGTCGTTACCGCACCAAGGTGAGTAACTTCCTCCTCTTCTTCGAGTGATGTCCCCGTGGGTGCTCCACTGTAGGTGAATACATAGCAGTACTCAGTCTAAGTGGTAGGTGGGCCTCAGATTATGGCTTTAGAATGGCAGATAAGACCATGGGGGCCACAGTAGTGTCATTATTTTGCGTCTTCTGAAGTGCATAATGCTTCATAAATGTATCATTGGTAGACCACATAGCCACCCTGCAGATATCCCTAAGGGGAACCCTGTGGGGGAAAGCTGTAAAAGTGGCCGTTGCTCTTGTGGAGTGTGCTATTATTGTTTGAAGCAGTGGTTTATTCCTCAAAAGATAACATTGTGTGATTCATGACACTATAAGCTTAGAAATGCGTTGTGACGAAAGCAGGCATCCTTATTGTGGTCCACTATAGAGATGAGCAAATTATCCGATTTGCAGAAAGACTTAGTCCTGTCTATATAGAATACAAGGGCTCTCCGTATGTCCAGTAAGTGAAATATTGAATTCTTTGCTGTGGAATATGGCTTAGGGTAGAACGAAGGGAGTATGATAGGTTTGTTCATGTGAAAATCCAAACAGACCTTTGGAATAAATGAAGGATGGGGACGTAGTATCACATTGTCTCTGTTAAAGATGGTATAAGGTGGAGTCGCCATCAAGGCTGCTAGCTCGCTAACTCTATGGGCAGAAGTAATTGCCAGTAGAAAGGCTACCTTTAGTGTCATGATCGACAGCGAGCATGTAGCAAGGGGTTCAAACAAGGGGAGTAAGAGTTTCTAGCACCATTTCTAAGTTCCACGATGGTGGTGGTGGCCTGTGTGGTGGGTATAGATTACCAAGGCCTTTTATGAATCTCTTTGTGATGGGATGGGCAAAGACTGACCATCCCTCCACTCGCTGGTGAAATGCAGTGATGGCTGAGACATATACCTTTAAGAAAAACAGAGCTAAACCAGAAGTCTTAAGGGACAGTATATAGCCCAAAATTTTGTGTGATGGTGCCATGTCTGGATCTAGATTTTTGTTAGGGCACCAGACAAGGAATCTACACCATTTCTGGAGATAATGTACCTTGACTGCCTGTTTTGTGCTACGCAAAAGAACTTCTTTCACCTAATCAGAGCATTGCTGTTTCTCCTGGCAGAACCAGCAATGAACCATGCTGCAAGGCGCAGGAGTTGTGCCTGAGGGTGGAGTAAGGTTCTTCCGCTCTGAGTCAGGAGATTGTGCTGAATCAGAAGGTGGTAAGGAGGCAGAGGAGACATTAGATAGAGATAAGGGAACCATATCTAACGCGCCCAAAATGGTACTATAAGAATAACTGTTACCTTTTCTCTGGTGATCTTCTCAAGCACCTTGGGAATTAGTGCAATAGGAGGGAATGCATATAAAAGAGGGCCCTTCCAATTGAGAAGAAAGGCGTCCCCTAAAAACCCTGACCCAATGCCAACTCTTGAGCAATAATGTTGACACTTCTTGTCTTTTAGGAAGCAAAGAGGCCTATTTTCAGAAGGCCCCAGCTTTGGAAGATGGATTGGAGGACCGAGTATGTAGTTCCCATTCGTGGTCCGGGGCAAAGTGTCTGCTGAGGGTATCTGCTGTTGTATTGTTTACCCATGGCAGGTATGAAGCTACAAGGGTGATGTTGTTTTGTATGCACCAATTCCATAATCGGACTGCTTCTGTGCATAGAGCGGGAGATCGGGCACCTCCCTGTCGGTTGATTTAATACGCTGTTGACGTATTGTTGGTTAATACTCTGATGATCTTTCCCTGAATGTGTGTTATGAAATGCTTGCATGTGTTGATTACAGCTCTAAGCTCTAATAAATTAATGTGCAGAGAAGTCTCGTGTGGTCTATCGTCTCTATATTAACATGGCACTCATGTGGGCACCCCATCCAAGGAGCGACACGATAGTTATGTGCACAGAGGGTTGGTTCCCCTGAAAAGATACACCTGCTATTAGATTGCCAGGATTTGTCCACCATGCGAGAGATTCACAAGGTGAAGGAGACCCCCGCATGTGCAGTAGCTTCTTGCAATGAGCAAAGACCATCGCAAGCTAATGCTGACAATAGTGAAGGTGCAAGTGAGCATAGTCAACCACATAGGTTATAGCATCCACATGACCCATAAGTTGTAGACAGGTGAGTATGGAAACTATAGGGCTGATGGTAACTGTAGAAACTGTATGGGGAGGTATGCCCTTGCGGATACAGAATTTAGCTGCATACCTATGAATTCTAGAGTTTGTATAGGTTGCAGCATTGATTTTTGTATGTTGAGTATGTTGAGTAGAAGGCCAAAAAATTGAATGTTCATTTGGTTGTCATGACCATGCGAAGCGTGTCTCGTTCCGATGTGCTTTTCACTAAGTAATTGTTGAGGTACGGAAAAATTATCACGGATTGTTTGTGAAGGTAAGCCATGACAACAGCTAATGTCTTTGAAAATACTCTGGGAGCCGAGGAAAGGCTGAATGGTAGTACTCGGTACTGTTAATGATCTGTGCCCATCATGAAAAGGAGGAACTATCTGTGCGTGGGGTAAATAGTTATGTGGAAATAGGCATCCTGCAGGTCGAGGGCTGCAAACCAGTTTCCCTTCTCTAACACTGGGATTATTGACGCTAGGGTAACCACCTTGAATTGTTGCTTTCATAAATCAATTCAATCTGCAGAGGTCTAAAATAGGCTTCCATCTCCCATCTTTTTTGGAGTGAGAAAATAATGGAAATAAAACCCCTTGCCTCTGAAGTCCTTGGGTACTATTTCCACTGCTCCTATGCTTAGCAGTCGCTGTACCTTCTGCTGTTAGTAGGTCTTTGTGAGAGGGGTCCCTGAAGAGGGACAGGGAGGTGGGGAGCAAATAATTATTGTTTGTCAAAAAGAAGATCTTCGACCGCAGCTCAAGAGGGACCCCCGCCAATTGTAGCCAGGAGGTTCTCCTCATAACTACTAAGATCGCAGTAGCCCTGGCTGCTGCATCTGCTAGGTCAAGAGCTATTTGGAGGGCTGTCCTAGAGGAAGCATAGCCCTCCTGAACTATGGACTTTAGTATGCGTCTCTTAGAGTCAGGTAAGTGCTCTAATAAGGAAATGAGTTTGGTATAATTATCAAAGTTATGATTAGAGACCAGCATTGCATAGTTGGCTATGCGCAGGAGTAAGGTCGAGGAAGAATATAGTTTCCTGCCAAAAAGATCCATGAGTTTATTATCTTTGTCCACCGTGTTCTTGTATTGAGGTAATTTGGACCTATGCTGGGCAGCGTCGACAACCAATTGATTTGGTTGAGGGCAGGAGAATAAGAAGTCAGCTCCATTTGGAGGGACAAAAAAACTTTTGTATGCGTTTTTGTTAGTTGGCGTTGCTGACGCTGGAGTCTGCCAAATTTCATCAGCTGCTTCCATGATGGCCTTGTCAATCTGTATTACAATTCTTCCCCGTTATGTTGCTTGAGGATTCTTGAGCAACTTGTATTGTTTTTCTGGTACAGTACTTCCTTTAGGGTGATATCCTGGGATACAGCCACCCTCTTAAAAAGCTCCTGAAATTGCCTAAAATCATCAGGAAGGGATTGATCACCAGGTATGACCACTTTGTCAGGGGATGATGACGATTGGTAAGTTGTGATACATCTGGTGGGTGCTCCTTCACCTCGACCTCTGATAATGGACCCTCTTCCGGTTCAGAATAGTGAGTCGTAAAGTGAGCATTGAGTGGTGATCTTGTGACTCCGTGACTATGTGAGGGTTGCAGAGAAACTGAGGGAGCACGGGAAGCCTGATGACTGTGACAGCAAGAATAGTCATAGCCAGAGTGGTGATAAAGTATGTTGAGGTGGGTTGTGTCGAGAGTAATACTGTAATATGTTGGGCTATGTCGTCTATGATAAGACTGCACCAGAGAAACATAGTGGGATGGATGGCTGGTCCTGTAATGTATCTGGTGGTGTACGGGTAGATGTAGAGACCACGGTGAGTGTGGTGATCCCCGTGAAGAAGGAAGACGAGAATGATGTAGGTATCTTGTGTAAGGGGACGGTGATAAATGGTATTCGATGCATGATGTCTAGTTTGCTCATGAGGGGAACAACCCCTGTCATCTGTTGGTAGATGAGTAGAATATGGATGGTGCTGAGGATGGTGCCGGTGAAAATAAATGTCAATGGTTCCAGGCTCATTGGTATTATTGTGGATTTTATAGGGTGCTTTCTTCAGTGCCGGAGATGTGTGTGCTGATTCTGACAAAGCCCTTGGTGCCGGCGAGGTTGTCATATGAATGGCCGGTGCTGAAGCATGTGGTGCCGAGGACTGCGGTGCTGATGTCATCTACACAAGTAGTTGATGCTGATGTCGCCGGTGCCGATGTCGTCAGCACATGCGGTTCCAACGCTGATGTTGTCAGCACCAAAGTAGCTAGTACTGTTGCTGGTGGTGACGACTGACAGACCATTATGACTGTTGACAGTGCCATTGTGGGTTTTTGTCAGGATTTTAGCTCTGAGAGCGACTTGTGCTTGGGCGCTGCCATGCCAGATGTGCCTGGCTTATCGCCAACACTCACACGTGTTGACGGTAAAGAGCGACCTGGTGATGCTCTTTTTTGGGATAGTCGACGGCGGGCAAACGACTTTTCTTTTCTCTGCCCTTGGAGACCGTGGAGTGGAAACAACGGGAGAATGTTCTGGCAGTTGAAGCGCCTTGTCAAAGAGGAACATTTTTAGTCTTGTCTCCCTTTTTCTTACGCGCCCTGACTCTCATTTTGGCACAATGGACACATTTTTGAGGCACATGAGCCTTGCCGAGGTACTTAATGCACTCGGCATGGCCATCCGATGCCGACATGGCGCATTTCTTAAAACCAGGGGAACCCAGCATAGTTAACTATAAACTACTTGAAGAACTTTTTTAACTATATTAACTAACTGTAACTATAAGAATTATGACTAACTCTAAGAAATATATACTATTCCTGTCAGGATTTCCCTGAGGAGAGAAGGTTCACTCTGTCTGCAACCATGAGCGGCAAAGAAGGAACTGATGGGAGCCAGACTGCACAAAACATCAAAAAGGTACGAACGGCGCAAAGCGCATGCTGCGCTTGCATGATCCGGCAGGTCACTGCTCAAGAAAACTCTGATCTGCGGCACCCGCATGAGCCGACATCTACAGTGGAGCACCCATGGAGACATAACTCGAAAAAGAAAGCAGTTTCATGGTTACATGCTGTGGACTCTGCAGAGCTGGCTGTCCCCACTCCGCAGAAGCAGGCTGCACTGCAGATTCTGCAGTATAAGCTTCATCCCGCAGCATGTAATCATGTTTCAAAGGCTCCCCAGAAGCTGGTGTTCACTGGAAGACTGCTTTTAAGCCAGCTCCCTGCGCATACCAGCTCCCAAACCTGCTCTGAAAGAGCCAGCTGCTGTCCCACAAGCTCTGATACAGTCCAAACTGCAATCTTTGTCCAGGGACTATTTCTTTTAACATTTCTCAAATTGGAAACCTAGATGCTCATCCAGTTTGTGTAAATTATATTACATACATGTACAACTACAATTAAAACTACTTCTGTAGCTTTTTCTTAATTATGATTTTATAGTTCTGACAGTTTAAGAAATTGAGAGATATGTATACAGGTTATAACAAGCAATAATATGCAAAGCATGACTTAAAAAGGCCAACTTAGGACAGAATAGATTCATGTAGAGATGTAATGTTTTGGAACAAATCACTACCACCCTAGACTTACATCCTGGATAACAAATGAACCTTCCAGCTACTACTTCATCATATATAAGATACAATTTACCAAGTAGCCTAATGGTTTTCTCATTGAGTTTTTGAAGCATGAGTCAAGAGATATTACTGATGACCAATCATGATATTCTTTTTCCAAGCACAAATTTCCATATTGCTTTAGTTACTCCTGAGACATCTTTTTCTCAGATGGGTCAGTCACCTGCCCCAGAAGCAAATAACAAAATGGAATAGACAGTTTCATTCAAGCATGACATGGGGTTACTGCTTCAGTGCACTATGGAAAGGAAAACATACACAGGAAAGGCACTTTTTAAAAAAACGTTAAAAACTAGAAATGTATGGGTCAGAAACAGATCTTCACTACCAGCTGTTGGCCTGGAATCAATAATATGTTTTCGTCAGTCCACCTCATGGCAATGCAACATTCAGATGATGTTTGTGTCATGATTATGGTACAGTTCCTAATGTTTTATTTTTCTTTGAGTAAGAACTCTATTGATTTGGCTGTCTTTGAAGACAGTGCTCAGCTAGGGAACTCCGTTAAAAAAGTTCCAGAACAACATCATACATAACAAGATTACATGTATATATAACAGAGCTGGGCAAAATACGTCCCGAGGACCAGATCCAGCCAACCAAGCCACCGGATCCAGACCACAGAACGCCCTGCTGTGACCCTCAGGCATGTAGCTGCGCATTTTAAAGCTCAGTCCCTTAGGCTCTCTTCTCTGCAGGGAGGGGGAAGCTTAATATGATCTCTCCGCCCCCAACCCAATCCTCAGCTCCTAGAGACCAGAAACAGGCTGCCAATAGGGACTGACCCCAGCCAATCTCTCCGCTCCTATTGGCTGGAAACAACCAGCCAATAGGAGCTGAGAGATTGACCTGGAGGATGGGAGCAGCACAAGTCTCTTTCCTCCTCCCAGAGCTGACAGCCAAGTGGAGGCAACAGCCTGCAGTTTAAGTGATCTGGGTCTGCAGCGCGCAGGGAGCCTTGGCTGCTTTCTTAGGTAAGCACCTCCCAGCCAGAGCCTGTCTCTGGCAACCCAGCCCCTCCTGTACCCCAACTCTCTCCCCCAGGTCACCATCCAAACCCTCCGCACTCCTGCCCCGCACCTGGTCACAATTCCTTCCCAGACCCTGTACCTCCTTCTACACCCCTGCTCCCAGGTCACAATTCCATCCCAGACTTTGCAGCCCCTCCTAGTGCCCCTCTCCCAGGCCAGAAACCTCTCCTGCACGCATACCCCTATCCCCTGATCCAAGTCACAATGCCCTCCTTTGCCCAAATTTCCTCTCACTCCAGTCCCTTACCCCATGCACCATTCTGCGCCCAACCTCTTGCACTCCTCCACAGAAAAGTGCGGTCCTTGACCACTTTCCAAAATCTTGGAGTGCCCCCCCCCCAACAAAAGTTATTGCCCACCCCTGATATACACTAATCTTGCTTGCTTTTTTATGCAAGACAAGAGAGGTAATTGTCATGCTCTGCTCAGCATTGGTAAGGCCTCTGCTGGAGTAGTGTATCCAATTCTGGGCATCAAGCTTTAGAAAAGACATGGACAAAATAGAGATGGTGCAGAGGAGAGCAACAAAAATAATAAATGGTTTACAAAACCTAACCTCTAAAAAAACCCATGTATGTTTATGTTAAGAAAAGATGACTGAGGGAGAACCTGATAATGGTCTTCATGTATGTTAAGGATTGATATAAATAAGTTAGTGACCAATTGTTCTCCATGACCACTGAAGGTAAGAAAAGAAATAACAGAATTAATCTGCTGCTAAAGAGATTTAGGCTAGATATTAGGAGGACCTTTGTAAACTGTACAGGTAGTCAAGCTTTCTTATAGGCTCCCAGAGAGACTGTGGAATCCCAATCATTAGAAGTTTTAAAGAACAGATTGAACAAACATCTGTCAGGAATAGTCTATGATTACAGGGCCCTGCCACAGCAAATGGGACTAGACTTCTCAAGGTCCCTTCCAGAACAACAATTTATAATTCTAAGCTTTAACAATACAGGCAGTCCCCGACTTACGTGGATCCGACTTACGTCGGATCCCTAGATACGAACGGGGTGAGGCAACTCCCGCACATGTGCAGCAGCATTCCCGGGGCTCGCTCACCTGGGTCCTAGGATCCTCCTCCTCCTCGGGCCGGCTCCGACTGGGGTCCCGCAGAGCTGCCGGGCAGAGGAAAAGTGCCTCCCCACGCCCGCTGCCCCCCCCCCCCCCCTGCCAGCAACAGGCTGCCCCCTCCCCTGAGCAACAGGCTGGCGAACAGCAGACAAAAGCAGCCTCTCCGCCCCTCCTCCCCCTATACATGCTGGGCTCCCTGGGCAAACAAAGACTCCACCAAAACAAACAAAGTGCTGGCCTCATTGTGTTAGCAAAAAAAGGACCCTCCTCCTAGAACCCTGGGTGGTGTGTGGAAATAAAGCTATTAGCTCAAAGCATGGTGCAGAGCTGTTTGGTATTTGATGAGTTACTCTTTTAGTCCTGAGTTTGTCACAGGGACAGAAATAGATGTGAAATCTTCTGAACAGGGGAACAGACAGCAAAACAAACATTAGAGGGGAGTTAACCTTTCCCTATGCTATCCAAAACTAAAAAAAATGTTTGGCTAGAGTTTCCCCTACAATATGTACCAGTTCCGACTTACATACAAATTCAACTTAAGAACAAACCTACAGTCCCTATCTTGTACGTAACCCGGGGACTGCCTGTATTCTTAAATTGGATCAAGATATACAGTTTTAAATGGTTAACTGTGAGTCATTTCTCAACAGCTCTCAGTAGTGCCATGAAATTTGTAAATACTTTAAAGCAAGTGCAATCTTACTTGAGAAAGTGGTCAGTGCACACATTTTCAGCTTTGACTCCAATGTAATTCCATTACTAGATCTACCATTTTTGGCTTGCACATTGACTTCCAAGGAGACTTGCATATATGGGGCCAAATTCTACTCTGTAATACTGGTGCAACTCCTCAGTAAAACGATTGAGGTTGAACAAGTGTACCTGTATAGTTCCAGTCACCATGAACAAGAAAGCTGACCAAAAAGGCACCACCCTAACTGCTTTCTTTGTCCAAGCTCCTAACATGAAGTTTTCAGATTAGTATGGTTAAGTCTGAGGGCACATTACTTAGTGCAGTATGCAGTACAAGAGGCCCCCGACTTGCAATGCGATTGGTTCCGGAGGAAGCAACGCAAGTCGGGGGTGTTGTAACTTGAACCCACATTTAGAGTAGGCGCCATGGCCATTGTAAATGCAGGCCGAGGACGTAAACTGGGGGGTTCCGGCCCCTTCCACACTTATAAAAATGGTTATAAGTGCGGGGTTTGGAACTTGAGCAGTCACATCTCGGAGGCCTCCTGTAGTCCCAAATAATGTACTTTCTACATCAACAAGTTTCTTCATATTAAACAATTGCATTGTTTTTCTCCTCCCTTCCTCTTCACCAAACCCGAGCAGCTAAATTTGGAATATAGGGTAGAGCTGAGATAATCTCATGCTCTAGGCCAGGGGTTCCCAAACTTTTTTACATGGGGACCAGTAAATCTATTCACAAGCTTTTGGAGGACCGGTAACATTCATTTGCATATTTATTAAACAAATGATGAATATGCAAATAAGTTGTTTCTGGTCCTCCCAAAGCCCCCAGTGCCAGCTTTAGCAAAGCTTTTGATATGGTCACCCACAATATTCTTGCCAGCAAGTTAAGGGAATATGGATTGGATAAATGGACTGTAAGATGGAGACAAAGCTGGCTAGACCAGGGTTTCCCAAATTTTTTACTATAGCTGGAACCCGTTTTTTTTTCAGTACTGTTTTTTGCAGCCCAAAAATATAAACGCATATAAAAAAAAGAATGAAAAATGAATACATTTTCAATGTTTCACCCAACTGCATCCTCCGCCCAGCTCGGGCCCAGGGGACCCAGTGCCACACAGGCACTCCGGGAGCCCAGAATATCCAGCTGCATCCTCTGCCCAGCCTGGGCCAGGGCTTGGGGGACCTTGCGCTGCACTGGCACTCCAGGAGGTGGGAGCAGGAGCAGACTGGGGATAGGGTATCTGGCTAGGAGGGAGGGTGCAAGGAGGAGACTTGGGTAGGAATTAGACCTCCCTGGTCTGGCACCCTCTGGACCTGACTGGTCCCAGATGAGAGATTTTTTGTTCAAGGGGAGGTCATTTCAGGGCTCCTGGCTCCCCCTCTTCCCACTAGGCTTCTTTGCACCTCCCTCCCCTGCAACCCAACTGAACTGCCCACCTCCACAGGTTCCCTGCACCTCTCCCAAAACCATCCCCCACAATCCAAGGGAGTGCAGCACCAGTTCTCTGCAGTCCCTCACAGCCCAGCTGAGCTGCTGCCCTTCTGTTCCCTCTGCCTTCTCCCATCCACCTCAGCCCAATTGAGCCCTGCACTGGTTCCCTGCATGCCTCCCCCACAACACAGATGAGCTCCATTTCCCTGCACCTCCCCACAAGCCCCACAGAACTGCTAAGCCCAGCTCTGATTTTCTGTCCCTCTCTCCCTCCCTCCCTCTCCTTGAGTCTAGCCCTGGGTTCCCAGCACCCCCCTCCTCCTGCAGCCCAGGTAAGCCCAGCACCCTGCACCTCCCCTCCCATCCCAGCCAGGCGCCCCCCTAGCGTGGTGCCTGGAGGCTACTCCCCCCACCTCCCCGCTTCCTCCCCTCCCTATGCCTCTGCCAGGAGCCCAGAACATCTGCCTGCATCCTCAGCCCAGCCCAGCCCAGGGCTTGGGGAACCCAGCGCCACACGGGCACTCTAGGACCCAGGAACACCCCGGCAGCCATGCTGAGGCCTGGTATTTTTTCCCCACAGACTGGTACCGGGCCTTGGCCCATAGTTTGGGAAACACTGCTCTAGGCTACAAGGCAAAAGCAAAGTCTCTACATAGGTGTTACAGGGCCCTAAATCTACAATATTGCTGTTGCTCTGGCATTTTTGTTGAAAGAGAGGCAGTAAGTGATGGATCCATCTGGAACAAATCACCAATCCCAATCCCCAAACACTGGGGTTGACAGGGAAAAAGAAAGGATAGTTCAGTCAATAGGACATTGACCTAGAAACTCAGGAGACTTATGATTCTCTGCTTTGCCACAGATTTTGTCCTAAGTGAATTTTGGCAGTTGCTCTCCATCTCTCTGAACCTCATGTCGGTAATACAGGGATATTAGTATTTCCACCTCAGGAATGCTCAGAACCAATATTGTCTATAATTCTATCTATATAGTCTGTGTGTCTAAGTCCATTTGTTCAAGAACCCGTCCTAAATGGTAAGAGCTAGGGCCACCAAACTTGGTATGCAGGTTTCTTTTCTCAGGGTTTGGTTGTGCCAGGACAAATGGAAGCCTTAAGAAAAGGATTATTTTCCATAACAAGAAAAGAGAGGGGTTGCTGTTCAGAGGGATGTGCTATGAAAGTGGCCACTGGGGGCAGTGAGTCTGCAGGGGACAGCTAGCCTTACAACCAAGGAACTTGCTAGCAGGGCTGGGGCTTCGCCATCTTGCCTGCCAGCACACTGGGTAAGTAGCCCTCCTGCCCCAAACCCTTTCCCCTCCCAGCTCTTGGCCATAATGCCAGCGGGGTAGGGCGGGGAAGGCCCTCGGCAGGAGAAAATACCTGAGAGTCAGAAGGGGGAATTGAGGAAAGGGGAGAGAAAATGCCCATGCTGGATGGGACCTGAAACCTAAGTCCCTCCTCATTCCCAACTTTCACTCTCACATACCCCCAGCCCCTGCCCTGACTCCTGCACCCTCCACACAGCCAGCCTCCTGCCCTGAAGGATCTGGGCAATACCAGGTAAATCTGCTTCATGTTCCTTGTCCAGCTTGCCACAAGTACCCTGTCCATAGATATTCAAGGTCATACAGCTTGAGCAAGGTTGAGACTGCATTGCCTCCTCTCCCCACCAACCTAGAAGGTTCAACAGCTCCGGTTTACTCCAGGTGGAAGTGCCATCTGTTGTGGAAAGCGACCTGGGAAAATGCTGTATGAACAGTACATAGCAAGAAAACAAGGCCTTTAAATGAAAAAAGGGCTCATGTTTGTGTACCTACAGGGGAGCAGAGTTCAAACTGATGACCAGAACCTTCATGATGGGCATTTTGGGACATCTGAAGCCAACTAGAATGACATTAGTAAGCACTCTATCAATCCTGATGCTGCATCACATACAAGTATCTCCACTGAAACTGTACTTCAATCCTCATGAAGCAAAAGTATTTAGAAAGGTAATTTTCCCTTAAGTCTTTCTTTCATTTTCGGGATCAATTTTCAAAAATTCATAATATGCAGCTAAGTTTAAAAACTGAACAAGTTACTCACTCTGTTCACTTTTTCTGCTATTCTGGGCTTCCTCTAAAGGAACAGACCGCATAGCTGACATAATCCTTTCAGCAATATTTGATAGTGGCACCTTACAAAGCTCATGTCCTATGTACTCCTTGCAACTCTTCATTTTTCTCATCAATCCTGAACACAAGATATCACATGTATATTATATTAGAGACATTAAGATAATGAAACAATTAACATCTACTATGTAAGACTAAATATAGAATGTATATAGGGTTGCCAGATGGTTGAAACAAAAATACCAACCCCCCCTCCCCCAAAAAAAACCACCGGGAAAAAATTCT